CCATGGGCTGGAGAGCGCCCGGGGGCCCGGCGGGGCTGCCCCGGCTCCCGGGGAGGGGATTGAGGATGAGTGTGCGCGCGGCTCTTCACGTCCGACCGAGATGAAGGGTAGCGTGAGGAAAACATCGCAGTCATTAGCACCTTTTAATAACCGCGCAGGAGCTGGGTGTGTGTGAGTGCGTGGTTAAGAGGCCGGGAGAAGGAAGTAGGACGCACCGGTGTGGCTGGGTAGTTTCACAGGCGTCCAGGCCGAAGCGTTTGTTAAAACACCATGGCAGGTCCGTCACGTGCAGGGAGGGCATGAAACTACTCGGGCCTCCTTGTGCTTCTTCCTCATGTAGCTGGAGCCCTAGCTGTGTTCTCATTCGTGTCTCTTCGCCGTAAATTCTCTGACATCGTTTTTCCCAAGTCGCGTTTTTATGAAACTTGAGTTTTCACGAAGTCTTGTTGCTTCTCTAAAGTTATATCGGTAAAGAAACTTTCTCTGTAGCGCTGGTCATGTTGGGAAACAGTGTGATCTATTTGGAGGGTGTTTCACTAAAGGAACCGAATGCGACTGCTTCTAAGTTTTGTGGAGTCCAGTTAAAAGAAAAGAAGTACTTGCCCAGCTAGAAGATAACGTGATTTCAAGTAGAGTTAAGTAAGCAGTTTTCTATTATAATGTATTTATTTTTAAGCATATGAAAGTGAGATACTTAAATTGCAAACTTTTCAAGCAATTAGATTTAACTGGCTTTCAGAATTAGCTTTAGCATACAGCCATTATCACATCAGACTTTGGTGTACCGATGATATCTGTATCTAAGTAGTAGAAGTTACTGTCTAATCTTGATAGACAGATACTCCACCTGTTATCAGCTCTCTCAGTTCAGAGAGCTTTTGATTTATTCAGCCATTCTCTAGGATGAGATGATTTGAATGCTTGTTTTGACATACTTTGTTTTCAAAAAAATAAGGGGTTAGCACAGGTCAGTATTGTGGTATAGTAATGTCAGGGCATAAGGTGAAGGTGATTCAAATACTGCTTCTCCTTAGTATTGACAGAGTTTCATAAGGGCTGACTTTGTCATTGTCATTAGTTAAGCAACCAGTGCATTTTGTGGCTTGTTTTGTAATTTGTTAAATGTGGGAACAAATGGCGCTTTTTCACGTGAGCAATGCTTAATTCAGGTTTTGAATATGCCTCTTAGGTGCTGTTACTCCAAATGCTGTATTTTTCAGCCTTTGGGAGACACACGTTTTAGTCTATAACTAGTCCAGTTCAGCTAAAAGTATTTCTTATCAAACCTGCATCTGGCACATATCTGAAAGTAGTTGTTTAAAATACACTTCAGTGGTGTTGCACTATTATACTTTTCCAAGATTTTCATAATTTTCATATTCTTGGGAAATACCTAGAAAGCATTTGCTGGGGGCGTTTTATAGGTCATCACATCCATTTACAGAAACCTTGAAATAGGAATTTTGAGGATGAATGGTTATTCTTAATATCATCCTAGTTTTATTTTGATTCCAAACTAGATATTTTATTGGCTAGATATCTATTGGCTAGACCTTTTATTGGTCTAGCCAAATTTTTAGCTTCATCTCAGTCTATGCCTATTAAACAGCTAGTAACAATTACCTTGGGTTTTGAAAAATAGTTTTGAAGGTGTGCTTGACATCACCAGCTGTCTGTAAACGAGGGATCGAAAAGCCCTTCTAAAAACTAATTAGGCCTGATGACACATGTGTGAGGTATGCACACATTTCAGAGTTGTGACTTTTCTGAATTTGAGTCATAGTCTGGAGTAAAGCTCGAGCAATCTTGTTTAATCACTAAACTAGAAATATTCTTAAGTAATCTGAAACGGCATCAGAATCCTTTGGATTTTTAGAATAGTAATGTTTCCAGAGGTTTTTTATTTCATAGCTATTGCTGTTTACCTTTAACACAGGTTGGCGTTAAGTGTATATTCTGAGTGATTTTGAAATTGTTTAAGTGGACTGTCCAGTTGCTCTCGACTAAAATGGGAGCTGGTGAGTCATTCAATGAGAGCTCCAGCAGAATCAGCAGAAGTACAGCCTGGGTAGGTGTGTCCATTGGTAGCAAGTTCGCTGCTGAATGGGGCTGCCTCCTGCAACCGGCACAGCCTTTTATGATTGAAATATAATGAAAGTGAGCCAGTTTCACTCGTTGGGAATTGTAATGTGTGTAGCTTGTACCTGGTTGTAGATGAAGTTTATTAATGTTTTAAAAATCTACCGTGGAATTACAATGTGATGTTGATTAGGCAGAAAAACATAAATTTCTTGTACTTCTGCTCAAAAGGAGAGACAAGGAGAGCTGCGGAAGTTTCCATGCTGTTCTCGTGGAAGAAATGGTGCTTGTCTAAGACACAGGCTCTCACCATGTGTTAAGAATGGTAATGTTTGCATAGGACCCATGGACCCACTTTCAGTCAGATGGTTGGGAAATGTGTTTAGGAACACACATTTTTGAGGAGTGTCGGGATTATTCTAGAAGCAATTAGCATGAATTAGAAAAGCCTCTTTTCTAGTAAAGGAAGCCCTGTTACTACTTCTGGAAATAATGAACTGTTTGTTGCTGGCACATCTATTGGTGCTGGCAGTAATGATTCTAATAACTTCCAGGGCAGTAGTGAAGTCTTATAAGTTTCTACTGTGGCTAGTCTGATATCCACAGGTTTTTATTATTTTTTTATTATTTTTTTATCTTCTCCCCCCCCCCACTTTTGTAGTATAGAGCTTTCCAAATTTTTTTTTTTCCCTCTAGCACTATCTAGGTTGCCTTTTCTCTCCTGCTTAATTTATATTAAAGTTTTTGAAAGCTTTATTAACTTACATAGAAGACTGGCATGTAATTTTTGTGGCTTCAGTTTAAGTAACTTGCTGAGTTGCTACTGTCAAGTGAATATGGTAATAGTATCAATAATCTTTTTTTCCCTGAAAATGTTATATGTCCATCTCTTTAATGCCTACAGATGTCTTTCAGAGAATATAATCTTCAAATTTATTTCTAATTTGAACATGTCACAAGAAAGGATATAAACATGGTATATCAGCAGAATCCCAGGCTCACTGCAAATTGTCTTTGGCCATGACATGCAACAGTATAGCTCAAGGCAAAAGCAGCACTTAAAAAATAAAAACATTAAATAGAGGTTTTCACAATGGGTTTGGCCCTTGGTCCTCCCCCCAAAAAAATTTAACTAACACTGTTGCTGTTTAAAAAACTAGTGATCTAAAAAACTTAGTGATCTAAGCTGATTTCAGTCTTGTTAAGGTTATACTGTTCTGATACTTGCAAATTACAGTGAAGTGAGTTAGCACCCAGGGGTGTGACTTCAGGTATTTAGTGGAACTTTTTTCAGTGTTCTTCCAGACTTACAGGAACAGGGATGAAAAGGAGCTGCTATACTTGAGAACTATTGCTCTTTTGTGCTTAAATACACCAGTTGAGTTATAAGATCACATACATATCTTGTGGCTTTGAAGAGTCATGTGAAAACTGAGCAAGTCTTGATACTTCCTCATCTAAATACACAAGAGATTTTACATACAGGATTTGAAAAGTTAGTTATGGAGTTCTACTGGAAAAACTACTCCATTGGAGTAACAAAACCTGGTTTACATTACTCTGGTTTGCTCTTTTAATGTTTGCTCTTTCATTGAGCTCATATGTATTTCATTGTGAGCTTTTAAAATATGTGTGTCATTTCAGATTCTCTGAATTACTAAACTAAGTAAGTACTAGTTTTGAATCCCTTTGAACTGTCTCTTGCCTAGAATTTCATCACAGATCTTTTTGGTCACTGAGGAAGTTGTGTGGAATAGCTGCCTGAGTGAGGCTTGAACATCCACCTAGAAAAGAAATTTTGTCAGTTTATGGGTACTGACATTGTAGGTGTTCTTATGTTAACATTTGCAAAAGGTCTCATATAGACACAAGCGACACCCCTAAAAGCATTTTTGTTGACACAATATACATCTGTGTGATATAGGAGAAGCCAGCTGATTTTCACAAATGCTAAAACTTTGTAACAGCTGCCACTTGCTGCATTTTCTCCTGTCACCTTACCATTTTTTCATAGATTTAGTCTTATGGGCTGATGACATTTTTTGCAGCTTTCTCAGTTGGTTTGTGCTCCTTCCAAAGTGCAGCTTTTGCTGATGAGTTTTTTCCAGTTCTTCCTTGCATACAACAAGAGTACACTGGAGGCTTGGGTTTGCAGCTTGGTGATGGTGCTGGACTTGAAATAGTAAAAATGTTACTAAGAATTGTGCTTCAGCTGGTATTTGTGTGCTTATTAAGGTAACTAGAGTTTTCTACTAATTCCATAATGTTTTTCTAGCTGAACGAGCTTTGGACACCATGAACTTTGATGTCATTAAAGGCAAACCAGTGCGCATCATGTGGTCTCAGCGCGATCCATCTCTACGCAAAAGCGGTGTAGGAAACATCTTCATCAAAAATTTGGACAAATCAATTGATAACAAAGCTTTGTATGACACATTTTCTGCTTTTGGGAACATCCTCTCTTGTAAGGTTAGTGGAAAACAAAAGGTATTGACTCACAAACTCTTCAATTTATGCTGGAAACATTCCATGAGTATTACAGCAAGGTTTTTCATTAATAGGTGGTGTGTGATGAAAATGGATCCAAGGGTTATGGATTTGTACATTTTGAGACACAAGAAGCTGCAGAAAGAGCTATTGAAAAAATGAATGGTATGCTGCTTAATGACCGCAAAGTGTAAGTACATAAATAAGTATTTAGGGATCAGCAAACTGAAATTCATTTTATGGCAGACAAAGATTTAAAAGTTTACCTAAGAAAGGAGGTTTGTCCTAAATTTTTCTAATTTTAAGTTGTAGAGTTTTAGTGTTAGGGATTTTAAGAATTATATCACCTGCCTGTTTTAGAGGCAGCCTGAGTTCAAAAATACAAATAATGGACTCCAGAGGAAAGAGTAATTTCATTGTCTCACAAGCCAATATTGTAAAAGGATTTGGGATCTTCCTGGTTTTCTGATCTTATTGGTTTGAGATTAAATACAATCCATTGAGTATTCTGAATAATACTTCCTTTATAAGAGTTGTGAGATAAGTGTGTTATCCATATTTTGGAGTTAGCTGAGAGTTACTTGGCACTAAAGAGTGGTCAGATTAGACTAATATTTTTGTATGAATGTCTGTTAATAGGCATATCTAGAGAGTAGAAAATAAAACTTAGAGAAGTGTAACGTTTTAAACATTATCACTGTTCGACATTGTAGGAAAAAATGTTATTTGGCAACTTCTAAAATAATATTTAAGTTGGAGGAGTGAGTGTGCCTCACAGCTATGCCTAAGGAATCGTTATGGTGTTTGGTATAATTGCAAAAGAACGGTTTTTTAAATACTTAGGAGGGTTTGGAAAAATGATGACAGAAATCAGCATCAGGTTACCATGGATTATTTTTACATGTAGAGATGGATAGATAAGACACGAATTTTGAAAACATATATTTTGAAACTCCAGTTTTCCTGGTTCTTCTGTTCTTGATTGATATATTGTGGATGTTTTTATTCAGCGTCCATTGTTATACAGCCTTAAATTAATAAACATGGCTAGTATGCATTTATAACAGCACAGGGGTAAATGTTTTATATTGTGAGAGTTAATTTTGCTTTAAATTTCTACTCAGGCTAGTTTTTTAGAAATCAACTCAGACACTTCACTCACTATCTAAATCTGCAGAACACATTGCATTCCCATTCTTACTGTACTTGATTGCTATAAATAAGGTGAAATAATCAACGTTTAAAAATTACTGAGGTACTGGATGCACCTGTATTGCATTTGCCAAATTTGTGACTTTAAAGTTAGAACCTGCAATAAAATTTGAAAGTAGGAATCTGCTACAGTCAGAAATCAGTGTCAGCCATGACACTACATGACGTACAGTCTGGTAGGGCTGCAGAATGTTATGTTCAGGTTCTGCTCTTTTCCTGCCAGTATGAACTAACCATTGGTGTTTCCAGCCAATTTGCAATGGTGTTTGACTCGAGAGCAAGTTGAACTATTTACTTCACTATGCCTAAAAACAGTCTTGGATGCAGGCTGGAAAGGTGTGTTGGGGAGTGAGGACAGTTAGTTAAATATCCCTTGCTCAAAAACAGAGCAGTAACTGCTTTAAGGCTACCATATTTTTAGTATGGCAGAGGGATTGAGCTGTTACCTAGAATTTCTGTTTAGCCTCTTTACTTAGTACTCTTTCCATTGTCAAGCTCCTGTTCTCAGAGGCTGTTTTATAAAAGTGAACAATCTCCCCAATGGCTTGAAAGTATTTTCATGCCTTGTAACTTGTATTTTCATGGGATAAACACTCCGATGTAACAAAGGACAATGGAATTGTTTTTCAGATTGAGTTTTATCATAAATATTTTCTCTCAAGAATTTCATACCTATAAGTGAACAAGACTGATTAAGAATAAAATACAATGCCGGAGGATTAAAGTAAATTTTTAAACCTTGAGACACACTTGCTTTAATCTGTATTACTCTGTTCTTCCTGCAACTAGATTTGTTGGAAGGTTTAAATCTCGCAAGGAACGTGAGGCAGAGCTTGGAGCCAGAGCAAAAGAATTCACCAATGTTTACATCAAAAATTTTGGAGAAGACATGGATGATGAGAGACTTAAGGAACTCTTTGGCAAGTTTGGTAATGTCTTAGTGTTTATATAAACACAAGTGAACTTCAATTTACTACATGTCTCCTATCTGTACAGTTCCTTGAAATACAAGGAAACAGGACTGCCTGATGTTGTTGTAAAAACATAATGAAAGTTACTGAAAAATTGGTACAGAATTCTAGTTTCAGATCCAAAAGTGCAGTGATATCTGAATTTTAAATGCACACAATTTTGTATTTAATCCTGCCATCAGAACTGTTTTCAGTAATCTGAAGATAGTGTCTGTGCGTTTTGCAATTTTTTAAAGTTGTAAATAGAAGTGTTCTCTGGTTTAGTACAGATTAATTTTATAAATGCACGCACAGGATGTGTGACAAATGAATTTACTATTGTTTTCATTGACCTGCAGACTTACCTCTGTTATTCAGTTGCATTGTGATGGTAGACGTAATACAAAATTATAAGAAACTATTCCAGCACCAAGCTATGAGATTCTGCCTTGATCCTCAGTTAATGCACAGGGCAAAATGATGATGGATGTAGTAATGTAGATGATGTGTTACCATCAAAATAGGAAATGGAAAATCTCTTAATGCCATTACGGGTTCCCCACATTTTATTTTCAATCTCACCTTTTTTTTTTCCCCCCCTTCCCTGTGTATGCTTTTGCTGTTCTCCAGTGGATATTGTGTAAAGCAAGGGAAAGTCTTGTACAAGAGATACCCTGTAGCAGCCTTAAACAGCATGTACAGGAAATTCCTTTCTGCACTTCAAGTATCTGTGGTTGAAACACTAGCAAATTTAGCTGCTACAGCTAAATTGTCTACTTCCAATTGAGTCTGTGAACTGCAATTTTTCGGAGGTTATGAAATTGCTGAACCAGGATGGCCTTTTTCTTTCACTTTGAAGGGGAATTTTGGTTGAAAATGCAGTAGAAAAGAAATTCAGCATGGCGGACTTCAGCCATAATGGCTGAAGTTCATCAGAGCAAATTAGTAATTTCATATTAATGGGTGACATTCACTTGATACTATTATTGGTGCAGGAGTCTTTTAAATATTATCTTCTAGAGTTGTTCAAAAGGTAACAAGAATACACTGTGTATGAAGCATAAGTATTTTATTCTCTTTTTAGGTCCTGCTTTAAGTGTAAAAGTTATGACTGATGAGAGTGGAAAATCCAAAGGCTTTGGCTTCGTTAGTTTTGAAAGACACGAAGATGCCCAGAAAGTAAGCTTTTGGACTTAATTTTAGGAATCCTGTAACTGAGACCCAAATAATATGCTTCATTGAATGATTAAGATTTTTTAATTGTTCAAGGCCACTGCAAAAAGAGATACTCACTCCTAAATTACTTAGCACAGTTTCTGTCATTTAGAATATTTTCCTGTGAGCAAATGTCAGTTGCTCTGAGAAGCCTATTAAGTCAAGATACTCTGATACAGCTGGAACGAGTGTAGAAATGGGGAATTTTGAATACTTTAAAAACCTGTTGTAGTTGGGCTTAAAGTTCTTAATAATACTTGGACTTGCACATGCTGAGCAGTATACAGCATAGCAAATTACTACATCTCTGAATCATTGGATCCAATTTGGTTGCACAAAATGTTTGTGCAAGGCAGAAAGAATTGTGTTTTCAAGCTGTAGTTCTGCAAAGTCAGCAGGAAAGCTATTAGTTTTATAAAGCATGTTTGGTATAACTGTGAGAAAATAGTTGTAGAGCCCGGTGATGTTGCTTTTACTCCGAGGGGTAACTTTGGAAAAAGGGTCCTTTTTATTCATGTATATGTCTATAACATGCTAGTATGGTGTGTAACTTGATTCTTTGTCAACTGGTTGGTTTGATATGTCAGGTTACTGTGACAGGAGGGCCATAACATCAGGAAAAAATGCAATACTGACCAAATCATGGCAACAAACAAAGTCTGCTTTTCAAAAAGCATTTTGGTGTTTTGTTGGTACTGCAAGTGAACAAGCAAGAGATTAGAACAAATCCTGTCACTCAACATCAACATTTTTCAGTCTTGTATACATTAATTGATGAATAGTTTCTTTACTATAGTCAGAAGGACATGTTGGGTGTTTTAAATAACATAAAATTCTAGTATCTCTGTAAAAATGTCTAATGGCTTTGATCCTAAACATATACAATAAACTGGTGACTTTTGGTTTTAAATTAATTGAGTAAATATGTGCTAGTTTTTACATCTGAGGAGTTGTAACTCAAAACAGTATGAAGGGAAAAAGTTCACATTTTCATACTTTCAAGTATTTCATTAATGAAAGACTAAAAATGACGAAAAAGCTCTGTATGTCATCCGAAGCTTGATGCTCTAGTATAGAAAGATCTGATAGGTACTATGGTTTCCGGTGTTACTTTTAAAGATTGGACTAGGTGGATTAAAGCCTTTCAACTTTATTTGCTTACTTTTTCTCTACCATTATTAAGATAAGGCTAGAGAAATAGTTCTTCCAATTTGGTTTTTTTCCTCCAGCTTCATATATAAAAAAAGTGGGTTGTATCCCTTTTGACTTGTCTTCAAGACAAGTGTACTTGGGAAGCAGTTTTCATGTTACCATAAGTGGGGAAGTCTTGGGGTATTTTGTTTCAATAATTAGTGGTATTTTAAGATGGATTCTCTCTTTTTCTAGAATCCTTATGTAGATAGGATTCTTATGTTTTTATATTTGAAATGCGTTTTTTTTGTTTGTCTGAAAAATGCTGGAGCAATGCTAACTTGTTGTTTGTTAATGAAGGCTGTAGATGAGATGAATGGGAAAGAGCTCAATGGAAAACAAATCTATGTTGGCCGGGCTCAGAAAAAGGTGGAAAGACAGACGGAGCTGAAGCGCAAGTTTGAACAAATGAAGCAGGACAGGATCACCAGATACCAGGTTCAGTTTTAAATCAAGAGGGCTAACTGTATTACATGATATTTTGAGATTTACACAGAACACCTGCTTTTAAAAATAACTTGCCTGTTTTCGTAGGGTGTAAACCTTTATGTGAAAAATCTTGATGATGGGATCGATGATGAGCGTCTCCGAAAAGAGTTCTCTCCATTTGGTACAATCACTAGTGCAAAGGTAAAGTTCATAGATTGTGTTCATCTGTTTTTTGAAAATGTGTAGTGATCTGTAACCAAAGAAAAGTTAATTTCATTCAGTAACAGATGTGACCCACTGTGTAAATGTGGGTGTCAGCTTTCTTGATTATTGTACATGTCAGGTTAAACACAGTATGATCATCCTTTCTTGAAATAAATTAAGTAGTGAGACTAGTGTAAGAAAAATTACATCTTTCCAGTGCAATATTGTGCTCATTGTTATTTCAATGAGATTTTAATCTCCATTCAGGTGACAGTAAACTGTTAATTACACAATAATATTCATTTTTAAGTTGTGGTCTCACTTCTAATAAGCTGGAACAAGAAACTCATGCAAGTTAAATAGGTATATTGCAGAACATTTAGTTCTAAAACTAAATTTTGTGCTGACAGGTGATGATGGAAGGTGGCCGCAGCAAAGGGTTTGGATTTGTGTGCTTTTCGTCACCAGAAGAAGCCACCAAAGCAGTCACAGAAATGAATGGTAGAATTGTGGCTACTAAACCATTATATGTAGCTCTAGCCCAGCGTAAAGAGGAGCGCCAAGCTCATCTCACCAACCAGTACATGCAGAGGATGGCAAGTGTAAGAGCAGTACCTAATCCTGTAATCAACCCCTACCAGCCAGCACCTCCTTCAGGATACTTCATGGCAGCTATTCCTCAGGTAAGTATAGAGATGAGTAACTGCATATAAGGTCTGCTTAGATTTAACTGTAAATGTAACTGTTCGCATGTGTCAGTGATTTCAGCATTTTAATCTCGTGGTGGGAGTGTGCTGGGCTGTTCAGCATGCCCATCACAGACAACAAAGTTAAGTGATGTTGTTGTGTTTGGCAGACTCAGAACCGTGCTGCGTACTATCCTACTAATCAGCTTGCTCAACTTGCTAGACCTAGTCCTCGCTGGACTGCTCAGGGTGCCAGACCTCATCGTAAGTCACTTTTTTACCTCTGTCCAGTGATTGCTGTATACTCTAGCCTTCACCTTTGCACTTCCAAATACATTTTCGTGGCATTGCTGTATCAGTCTTCTGTTTGTCATGTTGTCACCACTCAGTGTTTCAGCATGTAACAGTATCTTTTTTCTAAACCATAGCATTCCAAAACATGCCTGGTGCTATCCGCCCAGCAGCACCCAGACCACCTTTCAGTACCATGAGACCAGCTTCTTCCCAAGTTCCACGAGTCATGTCAACACAGCGTGTTGGTGAGTTTGATTTATGCAAACTTAAAGTGTTAGACTTCTGTTCCAATTTTGATGGTTTAGCATGATCTTGAAAAATAAACATTGGTAAGTTTAATATCACAAGTGATATTCCTAATGTAATACCATTTTCTAGTAATTACTTTAAATGCTGTCCCAGCAAAGACTCCAGCTGTGATCCCATCTCTTCAGGAAGAAGTACTTTTGTGTGTGCTTCAGTAATACTGGATGATGGCTTCTGTCATTTCTAAACATAGTTGCAGCAATTGTAATAATAGGTTGCATATAGAAATACTGAGATGATACAAATCTAGGTCTTAATTTTTTATATTTCACGTATACATATTTTATTGTTGTGAGACAGTATCATGAATGCAAAATCTGCACATCACTGAATGAACCAGGATTGACTGTATTCATTGAATGGTTTGGGTTGGAAGGACCCTTAAAGCTCATGTAGTTCAACCCCCTGCCAGAGGCTGGGAACCCTCCACTAGACCAGGGTACTCAGAGCCCTGTCCAGGCTGCTCTCTAACATCTCCAGGGATAGGGAGTCCGCAACCTCTGTGAAGGCATAATTCTCCCAGAATGTATCAGGCAGCCATCTACTTCCTAAAAGTATCTTTTTTAGAATGGCTGATGTAATGTGCTCAGGAAATCGAATGTCCTTTAGCTTATAATGAAATTATATTAATACTCAAAAAAAGTGGATTTTTTTATCATGGATCTTTTTTCAATGGCATGTAAAAAGGGCAGTTCATGAATGAAGTGACTGGAAAGTAGCATCCAGTAAATTCCAAGGTTTGAACCTTTGTATGTGACCAGTGATGTGACAGTTGATAAAACTACCAAGATGAATCTATAACACAATACCTAAATTAGGTGTTTGATTCAAGTTGACTTGTTGGGAAAAATAATTATAATAATAATTATTCACATCTGGAATTCTGTTACTATTTTTTCAGCTAATACATCAACACAAACAATGGGTCCACGTCCTGCAGCAGCAGCCACTGCGGCCACTCCTGCCGTGCGCACAGTACCACAGTACAAATACGCTGCAGGTGTTCGCAATCCTCAGCAGCACCTCAACACGCAGCCACAGGTTGCTATGCAGCAGGTATGTGATCTGGGGAACTGCTCTGTGCTTTTACTGACGTTCTTTGCAAAGGAAGGTGGTGAGGGTGATGGGAGGGAAATTCAGGCTCTGCATCATGCCAGTAGAGTAAAAGCACTAGAGAGTTAAGTATATTTGAAGTTCACCTGGGACAAGATACGATCCCATGTTGCATCATACTTTCCAGTTCCCTCATACCTTAGCCTAAATTCTTGTGTTTGCTCCTCGGTTTCTAATATTCCTCAGCATCATCACTCATCTCTAACCAGTAGTATTTGATTAAATAGACATAGTTGTTAATTTCTTTGATGTTTCTGACACTGTAGGCATTGTGTGTGCTGAGTTGTGAAATATTGGCTGTTTGAAGCTGTTCCTAATTATGAGCCAGGGTTTAATTTTAAAATGTTATTAAAATTAATTTGCAGCCTGCTGTCCATGTGCAAGGTCAGGAACCCTTGACTGCTTCCATGTTGGCTTCTGCCCCTCCACAAGAACAAAAGCAGATGTTAGGTATGTACACGATACCTTTCTCTTTGTATTGTAGCAAAAGGACAGTTAAAAGTACACTTTTTCAGTCTTAACATGCAGAGTAAATGGTTTTAGCAGTAGAACAAGTTGGTTTCCCTTATCCTTCAATTTAGGCTGGATTTATCCCTACTTAACTTTTTTCTCTCTAGGTGAACGCCTATTCCCCCTTATTCAAAGCATGCACCCTACTCTGGCGGGTAAGATCACTGGTATGTTGTTGGAGATTGACAACTCTGAACTCCTCCACATGCTCGAGTCTCCTGAGTCTCTTCGTTCGAAGGTAGGTGGACTTTTGCCTTGTACTGCTTCTGTAGGTGGTTAAGTCTATGCTGATCTAACAGCTGTTCATGCTGGCACAGTGGAGTAACAGCAATGCAGCAGTGGCTCAGGGCAAGAGTATCCTCTTCCAGAGGGTGACGCTGACTTACATGGATGAACTGGAATTGTAATGTTCTCCTTTATCTTTTCAACAATGCAGGCATTGTTTATATGTGTAATTTCCACTGTATTATTAACTTAAATATAAACTGCTAAGCTTCCCTTCATTTATTTCTCATTTGTACGTAACAGGTTGATGAAGCTGTAGCCGTACTACAAGCCCACCAAGCTAAAGAGGCTGCTCAAAAGGCAGTTAATAATCCCACTGGGGTTCCAAGTGTTTAATAGGTAAGTTTGGCCACTGTAGTTCCATAGGTTGACTGGGGCAAGTCTTTGTTCCATGGCCTTGTAAACAGCGTGTGTCCAGGCTCTGTGTCATGTGCAGCCAGAGGAAGTAGCAGCTATAGTAAACAAACTTCTGTGCTCAGTTGGTTAGCAAAAACTACTGACATGTCATTGTTTCTAACAACACATTTATCTTGAATTAGTTCTAGGCATGTGTGTGAAAACAGGCAGTTCTACCAAATGCTACTGTTGAGAACAACTTGTGGAATTGAAATAAGCTTGAAACAACCCCCTTTTTTCTTAGGAATTAAAGAGCTTGTTTACACTGTAATTTGTATATAGTTACCAAATTGTAAAAATGGTACAGTAAGTGAAAACTAAACTGCATATTGTCTTGACTTCACATTTGGGTGAATTTAATGTCAGTTAAAATAGTGATTTTTCTTCATTGCCTTCTGTGGGGCTGATATCTTAATTGTGCATGACAGCGGCAAATGGTCTTACCTTAACAATTTTGACAGGGAAAAAGTGTGAAGTTGAGGATAAAAAGGAATCTATTATCTCTTCTGTCTAGTTAGGTTTTGCCTGCGAATGTGCTTTCTGCTGCATTTGTAGCTGTAATTTGAAGGTGCCTGCTTTAACATTTGATCACATAAAAATTTTCCTTTTTTCTTGATATTTTAATTTCTGCAATTTTCCTTTCAGACGCAGAATTTGAGTAATGATTTTTAACATTTCTGTTTCAATACTTATTTTTTGCTAGTGACACTTTCACTACAGAGATAAGTGCTGAATAGGTTGTTTTTCCTAAACTAAGGTACCCATACTTTGAGACCACTACTCTGTTTTAGCAACTGGAAATTGAAAATATGGCTAGGGTAGTTATTTGATGAGCCTCAGTCTGCTGGCCTCAAGAGTAGAGGTGACCTGCGCTCAATCACAGTAACACTGTGCTTAAAGTGGTGCTGTCTGAGGGACTCTCCAGTTCTAGAGTCAGTGTTGTCTTGCCAAGGATCACAGACTTCTGAATGTTTTTGTGTCCCTAAAAAGAGGGAGGACTTCTGATATTCTGTTTCTAAAGAACTTTGGTATCACTTAAACACAGTGAGTGCTGCATGGTGTACAGTAGTAGTAAACAAGTCAGAAAACATACAAGGTGCTGCATTTGTTTTAAAACATAACACCATTGTTTTTCTTTGCAGAACTATCCGGGACTACAATCTAGAACTTCGCTTCACCGAAGAAAAAAAAAATCTAAACATGGAAAAACTATTAAATATTGAGAAAAACATTGCAAAATATAAAATAAATAAAAAAAGGAAAGGAAACTTTGAAGCTTACGTACACAGCAACGCCGGGGCTAGCAAAACAAATGCTAGCCCTAGATTACTTATTGATTTAAAATTTAAAAAAAAATAGTAAAATAAAAAATACAAATTAATGTTTTATAAACCCAGGGGAAAAGAATTTTCAGCACAGTACAAAAATTTAAAGCATTCCTTTCTTTAATTTTGTAATTCTTTACTGTGGAAAAGCTCAGATTATCACCACTGTTTTAGTTGACAGTGAGAATTGATAGCTGAGCAAAGAAACATAATTTGGATTATAAAATTCTTGGTTTAATAAAAATTCCTTAAACACTGACTTTCTTGTGATGGTTTCTTTTGTACAGTCTACTTTTCATAAGCTTGTCATCCAGAATGCCAAGTTAGAATCCCATTCTATAGTATGTTTTAGTGGATTGTAGCGAAGATAAGCCTACACCTGTAGACTGTCTTCTAAATAACAGAAGTGAAGGGAGGGGGGAAGTGTTTGGGTTTTTCTTAACAAATTGCTGCTTGACCTGACTCTGGTCTAGTGCACAATAGCACAGGAATAATTCTGTCTTCACTCAGGGCTGATGGGGTCATCAGGTCAGTTTGTGTCCCTAAAGGGGGTTTGCAGTGAAATGGCCAATGACACTAAAGTGGCAAGAGGGAGCACTAACACATGAGCTATTTCATTTGCTACAGAACTACTGAGATTGGGAGTTTTACTTAAATGTGTAACCAACCTAAAAGTGTTAGATGCATAAACAAGAGACAGAGTAAAAGGGCTTTTGTTGTAAAACAAACTTCCACTGTGTGAGTTAGCAGATACTCTGAAGTTTGTCCATCCACAGATGTGTTATCTTACAGTTGCTGCCTTGCTTTTTTGTTTTCTCCTTTCTGCAGACCTGTGGAATAAAAAGGGGTATTTTCTACCCAGTTTAGCCCATAATTGGCTGTATAAGTTGCTTTTTCAAAATTGATAATGCAGTGGGAGAAATGAAGAAGTGAAAATGGCATGCCCTGCTTTTACAAAGAAGAGGGTAAAACCTGTCAGGCTGGGCTGGGGAAGAGGCACAAAGATCTGTTGGTCATGGAGGAAGATGTGAGAGGTAACTGCTGCAATCTCTGGGTTTCAGTTGCTATATGTAAAGAATACAGATTCTATGGAATTCACAAATGCCAGTGTTCTCTGATCTGTTGCAGTCAAAGCCCTTCAGTATGCTTTCTGAAGTCCCCCAAAAGACAGGTCAGGAGCCCCCTTATTTTTCCTCTCTTGCAAAGGGGAAAATCTTCAGGTTTCCTGTTACAGAATTTGAGAAATAAGCCTAACATAATACGGTGAAATTGATGTGGTGTAAATGGAATCTAACTAAAATCCTTTGCTGTAAACGCATTAGGTTAAACTTGTGTAATTCTTACACTTACCCCTGTCCTGATGGCAGCAGACTGGGATAGCATTAAGAATATTTGGAATTGCAAGGTAAATCCTACAAAAGAGGCAGTTCAAGCGAGATATGTACATGTTAAGAAACTGAATGTATAACCTTGATTTTATGTAATGTCAACTATAAAAACACTTAAACTTTGGAGACTCTTTTAATGACCTAAAAATATTTAGCGCCATAATGGGAGTGCTGAAGAATCTGATGATATTAAAGGTTTAATGGAAGGTCTAAAGGCTATTGCAAAAACCTATTTTCGGGATTCTCAGGGTACTCACAGGAAAGTAAGAGGCCACTTCTCACTTCTCCTTGTTTTCCTAGATAGGTTGTGTGTTCTGTGAGTCTGCTGGAGTTAACCAAACTAATTTTTTGTTTTATAAGAATGAGCAAGTTACTTAATGTCTTGCCAATGGGGAAACTGAAAAAGGAGGAGAACAGGAAGTCTTCCCATTTGTACAGGACTCCTGTAGGTGTGTCATGCACTAGCATTTGTACCAGCATGAAATACTGGGTAACTTCTGTGATGGAAGGGAACAGTGAGGCAATTCTGCTGAGGTGGTCATGGCAGCCTAAGAAAAAGCTGTGGGTTAATTTGGTTTATTTCTTCACAGTCTTGATTACATGGTAATTCCCTGTTGTATGCCACAGATGCTTGTTCAATAAATGTCTTCTATTTTATGTCTAAATCTCAAAGATAGCAAATAAGGCATTTATTAGTGCCTCTACCTGTGCATCTTTGGACCACTACTGTAAAACAATGCAGCATGCAGAAAAATAATTTTTTTCAATAGCAGAGAACTGGACCTTTGAATTAATAGGCAGCCTGACTGGCAAGCACTTCTGCTGCCACACGTTCTCTCTATCGTGTCTCAGAGGCTTACACTGATCCTCTGCACACTGCAGCCAGTCAGTGCTAAGCTGATTTTGCTGGAACCTCTGGCATTTCATTCCTTCAGTCTTTCTGTGTCTTCCATCCTAACCACAGCAAACACTTCAGAATTTAGCAGCAGCCAAAAGCCTGCTTGTGAAATTGGTGGTGATTTGAATGAATGAACGAATGAATGGTATTGTATTTGCCATCGCTTTCCCAAGCAGGACATGGCTTTATGAGCAACTAAACCAAAGGTTTGGTGCAGAGGTAATCTGGATTGTGTGCATTCTCTTTGCTGCTCTGCTGAAGTCTAGGGAATTCTGAGTTTACTGGGTCCAGGGGAGGAGGGGGCAAGGTGGTGGAAATAAGAATGTTCTAGAGTCTGACAATGTCTTATTGCCAGTTTGTGCCAATTGGGTGTCTACCCTTGAACAAGCCTTGCATCTTGAGTGTCCTTGGTAACATTCTAATGGTTTTGATGGACAGCTGGATGTTCAAAGGTGGCCACTTAACATCTTGAGTTAGGAGTCTTGGGAAAAAGATTTCCTGAAATCTACATCTGGTAGACATATTTGTGCTTGGGATAACTGGAAAAAAAAAGAAAAGAAAAAAAAAAGGTCCAAAACAAGAAGGATTTGTATTTCTTTTCAATAGGTTTAGGAGTTGTGATCCAAACTAATATAGTAGAGAAGAGCCACAGTCCTTGGGACCACAATTCTCCCTAGACTTTTGTAGTTATATGTGAGTCCGTGTGGTGTGACTACCTCACTGAAGAAAGCTTTTAGTCGCACTTTTTTTCTATGGGACATGGTCAATGAGAAAGAGTAGATGTATGGAAATGAAAACACAGCTGTCAGGGTTACAAATCCTTAGGATATTGCATTTGAAGTGAATACAAATTTAAAACATGTTTCTAGCTACGCTAAGAACACAAGGTGTGCATGTAGTTACAACTTGGACAACAAGAACTAAGGAAGAATATTTTTTAAAAAAATAATTTGAAATTTAGATTTCTCACTTGTATTGGGATGGAAAGTAATCATTAAGAAAAAAAAAAGAATTGACAAGCTAGGCCAACATAATGGCCCTTTTGTACATTAAGTACTAAGAGCAGTACATCTGCCAAGTGGTCTCCTATTTCCCATGTCACCTGCTAAGGAAACATCCCTAATCCTGTCATGTTCCAATTGGCTATAGCTGGCCAGACATCTGTACTTTTTTATAGCTCTGAGCATGTTCTAAAATATACCGTGTGATATCTGAGCATTCAAAAACCAAAAATGATGCCCTAGACAGGCTAAATAGCTGTGTCACATTTCAGTAACTGGGACCTTGGGTTACATGTGTTCTAGGTTAAACCTGATATAACATAAAACAGAGGTTACTCCTCAAAAAGTAAGCCCCAAGCATATTATGTTGTCACATCTGTAAGTGGAAGCTTACTTTATCCTGTCTCTTACCACTGCCAGAGATTTGCCACCTGTGGCAAATTTCTAACACGGAAGATTAAACTGTAAATAAGCCACCTACTTCCCCCCGCCCCTTTATCCCAGGGTGGGACAAAGGCAGACTATGGGTTGGGATAACAATTTACTGAAAGCAACAAGCAATGGAATAAGAAACAGTAACAGCAGCAATATCGGTAACAAGAGTATATATAAAAGAAGATGCTTTACCCACAAAAAGATGTTTAGAACCTCAACTTAGTTCCACGTGGCCCTGGAACAGCAGGATAGTGGCCAAGATGGTGGTTGTTCTCTCGCTGCCAGCTCCCTCCTGTCCCAACTCTGCTCAGCTCCTTTCAGCTCAGCTTGGCTCAGCTTCCTCCAGCTCAGCTGGATTGGGGCTCACCCCCACTCCTCAGTTCCCCAGCACTGTCCTTCAGCACCATATGGATTCTGTGTTCTGATGCTTTTTCTTTAGCACCATGTCCTGTAGCTGTGTCTCAGAGAAAAAAGGAGGAGATAGCAGCGATGGCAAAGGATGGGGTCCTCAGGGCTGATGCCGACAGCCTTCCCACTGGGGAGAGGGAGGCAAAAATGGTGCACTCGTTGGAAATTTTACAACCTTTAAATTTTTTTTATGTAGCTTTAGTCAGGGGATTGTTCACTTTCACCCCAGGGAAAGGAGAATTGAAGTTTCTCTTCAAAAGGCTGTCATCAATGCTAGGTGAGGCCCGATGAGTTTAACATCTACTGTTTGGGAGTAGCCACAAGATACACAGGAGATAAATATAAACAAACATCACCCTGTAGTGTGGTCAGAGACACTTGGTTTGGGAAAAGATTGGTAAGAGAACCACAGAATGAGGACCATCATTCTATTAGCATCAAAGGCAAAGGGATCAATAACCAATAGGAGATTGAATGTTAAGAATTGTGTAATTTAGGCCCAATGAATGAGAATTTATTTAGGGTTTTATGTATAAATATGTGAAAGGTCTGGTTGAGAACCAAGTATGATGGAGTGATTTTCACTGGGTTCAGTGCAGAACCCAGGCATGTGTAGATGAAATTATTTCTATTGCACATCCAGGCCAAAAGAACCTCCTGGCCAGAATAACTTAATGCTAAGTCTCTAACACTGAAAATATGTTGTTGGAGAGTTTGTTTTCCCTGCACTTGTGGTGACACACTCACCTTTGCTTCCCCCCAAAACTGTGTCCCCAGAAATGACATGTGGGTGGTATAGAACAGCAACAGAGCCACACCATGTCCCCAGCCTGCAACCAGGACACCACCAAAATTAGTTGTTCCTCCTCCTATAGTTTTCAATAACCAGATTTAGACAAATGAGAAGAGACCAGCAACCTAGAATGACAGCAGTAGAAAACTCCTGTGACTTGGAGTGTAGATCTTTCCTCTGTCTTCCTATACCTCACATTTTCCCATTAAACTCATTCTGCAGGTGCTTAACCTCCCAGGTTACGAAAGTGGACATATGGATTGGCAAAATGTCTTGGGATACAAACAAAGATGCACACAGCAACCTTTCTCAGGAGTGGAAGAAAAGCTGTTCCAGGGCTCCTCAGGGTGTGCGGAGCCTCATCTCCCAGATACACCAGGTAACTGTGACAGCAAGGCTACAAAATTGGCTTTGTAAGAGGATTGTTGTGGGGTGCTCCTGAAGTCTCCAGATTGGTTACATTTGGCTGCACAGATTAAAAACAAATCAAGTTCTCAAGCACATTATGTAATTTTATTTTACTTACTCTTCTCCACTTCATTCACAATGCCCACAGTTAATCCTGTTTCCTGAAAAATATGTATAAGCCTTATTTTATTGTGAAGGGTTTTTCCCCAGGTCATCCAGTCAATCACAGCCTTTGCAAAGCAATTTTCTTCCTCTGAAAAAGGGCATTTTGGTGAGGCCAGCATAATATGCTCACATCAGGCCCTCAGTTGCAGGGCAGGCATTGCAGCGGCATCATTTCCCTGTTAATGAGCTCATTCCACATCTCCAGCAGTGTTACTTCTGTAAGTCTACAAGGAGTTCCACATGAGATGACCCAGTCCTGCAGTGCCTTTCCCTCAAGGGTACCAGAAGCACGAGAAAGAAAGCTGTGAAAAACAGCAAGAATAAATCACCCTTATTGTTTAGGAATTAGCGATAAACAAAAGTCCCAGGCCAGAGATAGATGCACCATTTTACTACACTTGACCTTCAGTGAGGCGCTTTGTGAGAAAAGGATTTAGTTTTCCTACAAACCTGCTGTATACACCTTTCAGCAGATGGTCACTAGTTCATGTTCCTTGAGAAATAGTGAATTACTATTACTTCATAATGAATTACCACGTTGAAGGCTCCTTCTTCGAGCTATTCTGCACTCCCGCCCTGCCCAGCCCCAGCTCTTCAGCGCCGGTGTCGCCCCGCGGGCCCGATCTGAGGGAGCGGTGTGAGGGAGCGGTGTGAGGGGGCCCGGTCTGAGGGAATGGTGTGAGGGAGCGGTGTGAGGGGGGCCCGATCTGAGGGAATGGTGTGAGGGAGCGGTGTGAGGGGGGCCCGGTCTGAGGGCAAGGTGGTGCTGCAGGGCCCCAGCGGGACTTGCGTGTACAAAAGGGCTCCTGCTCCGCAGGGCACGGCCGCAGCTCCGACCCACAGCTCTGAGCAGGTGAGGGTGAGCTTGGTGCCACCCCCGGCCCTGCCCTCACACCTGCCCCTCACACCTGCCTGAATTTCCTGGTGCTGTCCTCTCGGAGGGGCAGAATGCTGCTTGTGGAGCACACGTTTGCACACGTTTGCTGGTGAAATCCAGCAGCCACTGAGAGGCAAATCCAAAAAAAAAGCCACGGCTTGTGGCAGAAGTGTGTGGTAAGCTGGCTAAATGGGAAACAACGGCCAAGCAGCAGCAACTGTCGGCTCCAAGTCCCTCTTTTCCTTGGCCTCTGGGAGAGAGGTGCAGCTGCTCAATTTTGGTCATTAATCCCATGAACAGCGCTAGAAAGTTTATGGAGATCAGGCCAGGCAAATTGCAGAGTCGAATGCAAGATTTTTTTTTTGACAAACTGGGGATTAATCAAGTGTTGGATCTTGAATTGCCTATGTCAATACCTCCAAAGTGACCCCTTCCACACAGAGTTACAAAACAGCTGGAACACAGGCTTGAAGTACTCCAAGGAATAGCGAGCCTCAGGGAATAACGTATAGCCCCAGGCAACAGAAGTGGATTATTTCAGGGTGAATCTGCAAGTTTATCTCTACTTTTGCTTTGTTCCTTATTGAGTTCCCTCTGTCCTTTTGCTCTCTATCATTCCTCTGTATTTCTTAGGAAAGTGAAGGGGGAGCATGTGATGCTGAGCTTTTCTGTGAAAGCAGTGTCTGTCAGCCTTCTCTTTGCTAGTTTTCTCTTTGCTCTCTGGCTGGCCTTTGCCAGTCCTTGGCTTCAAGCAAAATCTCTTCTGGCTTCTCTGTGAGTCTGGGTGCACACTGTTTTCTAAGCAGCATACTTTTACCTCACCAGCTCTATTTTAGGGCCCTTTTTGGTGAACTGTTATGCTGATGGGTTAGGTAGGTGCTTCTCTTGGCAACTTGCTGTGCTCTCAGTTGCAGTGATAGGACCACTCTGAAGTAGTTTTTAAGCCAGTAAACCTGGATGGATATCAATCCATCTCTCCCAACTCTGTGTGACTCCACAGCCAGTTGGAGAAGCACAGCTGAAAGGTAGATGAGTCACAGCAGGGCTGCCATGAGAAGCAATGTTTGCTGAGGTGTGCCCTTGGAGTTGCAGTTCTGCGATTCTGTTCCCTGTGGGATCTCTCACAGTAGTATTTTGCTTTGGTTAATGGAGCATTTTGGATAACCTATCTGAACTAAGAAATCAGCTTATGCATTTGCTTCCATTTTTAAAAGGCCTACTGTTTCTTGCTCAACAGGTTTTAACATCATTAGTGCTCTCAGCAAAATTGTTCCCTTCTGGCATCCCTGGTAACTGAGAGTTTGCCTCCTGCTGGTCTTCAGAACTTGTTGGCTGATTTTTGTTTTCAGTTCCTTCCTTCCTGCTGTTGATAGCACTTGGTCTTGAAGTTTACAACTGCCATCTCTTAATTGCCTTCCCTAGTCTTCTGTGAGGTTGCTTGTCTAAAATTATTATATCCTGTTCTGTTTATCTTGCTTGAAATACTTTTTAATGTAGAAAAATGTACATGTATGAGAAGTCTTACTCCAGGATAAAGTAATTCTCACCACATGTGACCAGATCACATATCATGACCACAGTGTCCCACAGATGCAACAATTCTGTGATGCAAAGAATGTAAATTAGAAATAAAATTCCTTCATAGACTGATTTCTGCATTGCTACCTTGAGGGTATTTCTTGAGTACTACTCTGGAGGGTCTGTCTCTGCCATCTGTTGGATGAGCTGCTGAATTAATTGTGCCCCTTTCAAGGTAGCAATTTTCGAAGCTCTTCTATTCCACCTCTGCAAGCTCCTGTCCTGACTTGTGAAGCAAAGGGCACATAATTCTTGTGTATGATGCTGTGTCTTATCTGTCCCTTTTCTTTTGCTGTGCATTTTCCTTCTTCCTGTTACTTTTTAGTCTGAGAGTGTTTCTGTTGTCTGACACTCCTAGACACTGCTTTCTTGCTGTCTCCCAGAGCAGCTGTTCTATTAAAAAGGACAGTCTGAAGGGAGCAGCTGTTCAGAGGTACTGTGTGGTGATGGAATATACGATGGTTTGGACACACTGTTGAATGGGGAGGTGCAGATATACTGACTAGGAGCAACTTACCCCTTGGTGCCTCACCTCCTAAGGGATCTCAGCTTTAAGCTCAGGACCCAAGGAAAATCATATAGAGGGAAGTGTGATCAACTGATAGAGATATATTAGAAGAGATCTTGCTTAAAGTGAGTTTCTTAGGTAGGGTTGGCAGAAATGCTGAGGAGAGTGGTGCAACTTTAGCCCTTCTCCTCTTGCATAGGCACTTGGCTATGGATTGACAGCAGGTGCCTGTCTCGGTATGAGGATTTACAGCCTTCACCTTCCTCTGGGAGATGGGGCTTTGTTTGGACTCTAAGAGAGTCCAGAGGTGGTTCTGTGTTCTCCCCTTTGCCTCTTCTTTAAAAAGCTAGAGCATTCAATTGCTCTAGCAATCCAGTTTTCTTTTCCTCTTCTGTCTGGATATTTTATTAAGTACTAGCAGTAGGAAGGAGAGCTGAAGGAGCAGTCTGCCTTGGCTTGTGATGAGTCCCACACCACACACATTGGGCTGTTTGCACTTGCTGAACTGAGATTTGTGCAGCCATTCTCTGCAAATGACTGAACATCTTCAGCTGGAGTGTTGATGGCAGATGGATATGCATTTGAAGAATCTAAGTCTTGGCCCTAGATTCGCCCAAGGACAGCCAGGTAGTGCTGTGTGCTGTGTGCTCTCTCCTGAGTGTTCTCTGGGTATTGCACACTGACCAGAGCACCCCTAATAGAGCTCTGGGGATTTATTCTGCTTATGGAGAGGTAAGGCTCTCTTGCAAGACTAATTTACGGAAGTTTCTAGAGTGGGATCAAGATAATTTGGGCAATGGTTTGTGCTTTGAAAATGTCACTGTATTTCCTTGAAATCAAACAGTTGCTGAAGATCCAGGCCTTTCCTGGTTTCTGTGTTTGTGATGTGATGTTTGCATTTGGCTTTTCAGTTTTGCAGCTGCTTAACAATTTAGCAGTTTTGTTTCTGTTATTCTGTCTGACTTTGAGATCTGCATATCTCCAGCATGACCCTGGGTGAAACAGCTGGTCTAAGCAGCGTAGACAGGACTAACACCAAAAGACAAACCGATGGGACTAGACTAAGTAGGAGATAATTAATTTTGGTCAACTACACTTTGATGGTATCTCATGCTGAGGAGGAGAATGTTCATTGCAGAAAGATGAAAAAGAAACAGCACCAACTATGGCCTGTGTCTTTACTCCTCTTTTTGAAGATAATAGCACTTAGAGCTTAACATTGTCATATTTAGGAAGGCTACTCTATCTATTTTAGGTGGAAATCTTGGATAAAGACAAAGTACCTCTTCCACCAGGTTGAAACTTACCCAGCAGCTGGCACTGAGATGAATTATTTTTCTAAGTAGGCCAGAGTCTCAGTTTGTGTGAAGTGATGATAACAGACAGCACCACTTTCTGTAGGTGAGGCAGGGCCTGAACACAGAGGGAAGAGAGGGGACCACTTTGTTGTCAGACTCCTGGAAAATTTTCTTGCTCTATCTCCTCAGTTTGCCTGCCTGTAGAGCAGAGATAAGTTTTCCCTGGAGGAAAATCATGTATGGGAAGGGCTTTGAAGATAAAAACCGCTCTACACTCACTATTGGAGTCAGCTTTACATTAAACCAAATCATGTCATGTTATCTGACCCTTTTATGCTGTGTGTCTCTGAGAAATTCACACATCATATCTAAAAATCAAGACCTTGGATATGCTGTTGTGTTGCCAGCATAGGGAAAACAGAGTTGTGATTCTATGCTTCACTCCAGGTTTTAGCTAACAAAAATAAGATACCGCTAATTCTTGCAGTAATAAACTTTTTTCCTTCATACTTTGGTTGCTGGAGTCATGTGAAAGACTTAGGTAGCAAGGGCCAGAGGGGAAAATGTCATCTTCCACATGATTTAATGACACTAATTGCCAAGTTGAATACTGGTGCATAAATTTAATTAGTAGAAATGTCTCAGCATTCTGTAGGGAGTCTCATTTTACTGATCAGATGACACATCATTTTGATTTAGGTTAAAAAATGTTTCCAGGCATACTGTATTTTGCTGTGTTTAGTTATGTGCATTTTGAGAAAGTAAATATAGCTTATCCTTCTCTTGAGAGTGTTTGCCTATAGTTAAAAAAAATCTTATACTTTCAAGTGACCAAATACTGTCCAAACTTGTTGGAGCCATCTTACGTCAATTGTAAAATAGTGTAATTGGGGTTTTCTAGGACTTCCAGATCTGTTTATAGACGAGATAGGGTTTATACAAAGGCATTATGCCCATATTAGCCAGCTGAAATAACTGAAGGAACAATCAAACTTTAAGATAATTTGTGTTCATTAAATATTTTGTGGGGGGTTGTTTTGTTTTGGTTTGGTTTTTTTGTGGTTTGGTTTGGTTTGGCTTTGTGTCCTTTTTCCTCTTTACAATATTAGATGATCCAGTAACTTTTATCACCTCTCATAGACAAAAGAGTAAAAGCCTCTAAAGTAGCACAAGTCAAGGACAGAAATTGCCAGCTCATAAAAAAATAGTTCTGTGGATACAGAACAAAGAAATCCTGTATGGACATACTAGAAAGAGCAGATATCTGTAATCAGAATT